TAAATCTGGTCTTTTTGTGTGTGTGTTAGAATTTTGTTCTACATCCTTCTCCAGCTCTGTCCAGAACCCTCTGTTGTGATCCCAGTCAGAGCAGTCAGTGGTGGTAGCCGAGCACCATCTAGCTGTACTGGACTCAGTCCATAGTTTTTTTTTGGGGGGGGGGGTGGTGCTGTAATTACAAAAGCAGATCTCTAGGCATTTCTTCCAAGGTGACTTTGAGTGGGTTTGAACCACTAACTTTTAGGTTAGTAACCCATTGCCATAGAGTCGAGTCTGACTCATAGCGACCCTATAGGATAGAGGAGAACTGCCCCATAGGGTTTCCAAGAAGCAGCTGGTGGATTTGAACTGCTGACCGTTTGGTTAGCAGCCTTAGCTCCCCATCAAGTGCAAACCATTTGTACCAGCCAGGGACCTGACTTTCAGACATACCAGCTTAAATCCCTGTTCTATCTCTGACTAGTCATGAGTCCTTGGGTAAATTAGCCTGTAGGAGTCATAGTTTTTTGGTATGGTAAAATGGAGACTTCTAGAAAGCCAACAGAGCATACCTTATGGAGGTAGAATATAATATGATCTACAGAGTAAACAATTCCAAAGGGGTCAGTGGAATTTATTACACACATGGACCAGGAAGAGAGTGGACTTGCTGTTTAAGAGATGACTCAGGCTTCAGGACCATCATGTCTGCCTGAGAGTTCACAGAGCAATCCGACTCTACATTTAGAAGAGACAGCATAGGGAAGCTCTGGAAATAAATAAGACTTTATTAAATTTCAACTATGTACAGGATAATGTTATATGCTGATGGAACATGCAGAGGAACTTAGGTAACTAGAATATAACAAATTCCCTGCCCTTAGGAGCCTGTGTTTCAGTTGGTGAGTCAAAACCTCCCGAAGAGCAACAATATTAGAAATGGGGCAAGGGAGAATGTTATCAGGAGTATGGATGAAATAGCAAAGCAGATTTAGATGAGTTGCTGAAGAGTTCCAGATCAAAGGAGTATATGAGAGTTTAGGGGGCGGGGTGGGGCGGGGAAGGACTTCTTGGTGGTAGTGGTACAAGGGGATTTTTTTTTTTTTTAATTTGTAAAATCACTATTATTGAATTCTAGACAATGAGTTAAACGGTGAAATTCTTAACGTAAGTTTTTGCTGTTTTTGTTTTTATTGTGCATTAGGTGAAAGTTTACAGAGCAAATTAAATTCCCATTTGATAGTTTGTACATAACGTGTTTCATGGCTTTGGTTTCATTCCTCACAATGTGTCAGCGCTTTTCCCATTTCCGCCCTGGGTTCCCTGTTTCCTTTTGTCCTGATTTTCTACCCCTTCCTGCCTTCTCATCTTTGCTTTCAGGCAAATATTGCTCTTCTGATCTCGTATAATTTGGTGTTCCAAGGAGAATGTTCCTCTCAGGTGTTATGTTTTATTTTATGGGCTTGTGTATTGTTTGGCTGGAAGGGGTCTCTGGGAATGGCATCAGTTCTAGGTCAGGAGGGTGTCCTAGGGCCATAGTCTCAGAGGTTTCTCCAGTCTCTGTCAGACCAGTAAGTCTGGTCTTTTTTGTGAATTTGACTTTTTGTTCTACAATTTTCTCCCACTCTGTCCAGGACCCTCTGTTGTGATCCCAGTCAGAGCAGTCGGTAGTGATAGCCAGGCACTATCTAGTCCTCTGGTCTCAGGGTCGTGTAGGCTGTGGTTCATTAGTCCTTTGGACTAATTGCTCCCTTGAGTCTTTCGTTTTCATACTCTCCTTTGCTCTGGTTGGGAAGAGATCAATAGTTGTATCTTAGATGGCTTCTTGAAAGCTTTTAAGACCCTAGATGCTACTCACCAAAGTAGGATGCAGAACATTGCCTTTATGAACTATGTTGTGCCAATTGATGTAGATGTCCCCAAGTCTATGGTCCTTTGCCTTCAAGCCTAGGAACTTCATCCCACCAGGTGTTTCATTATGTTTAAAAGGTTTCCCTGACTGTGCTACTTGTGTGCTCTATTATCTATATTAATATATGAGAAGTACCTATAGTCATGTTTATAGAAATAGCCACCACTAAACATGTATCTGCCGGTGGTTTTGCTCCTTTACACCCCCCACATCTCTTGGCATATCTATCTATGTATCCATTTGTAAATTATTGTTTGTTAATACTATTGTTGCAGGATTGTTTATGCCACAGTAGTTACTGTAGTTGCCCTTTATTCTTGTGTTTCTCTCAGTGTCCTCTCTTGTCTTGGTCATGTTGTGCTGACTTCTCCCATATCTTGTATTGCCTTTCCCTACACCAGTATTAACAAATCTTCTATTTGGTAATTTCTCCCCCCCCCCCATGCCTGGTAACCATCAGAGAATTTTTTTTTCTTTCTTTTTTTCTGTGTGTAAACCTTTTGTTGTTACTTTATGATAGTGGTCTTATACAGTTTGTCCTTTTGTGATTGACTTATTTCATTCAACATAATGTCCTCTAAATCCATCTATGTTGTGAGGTGTTTTGCAAACTGGTCATTATTTACCGTTGCATAGGTACAAGGGGATTTAATACTGGGTGTAAAATAGCATTCCACCACCCACCTGTTAGTTTGTTGTACTGTGGTGATTGGCATGTTGCTGTGATGCTGGAATCTATGCCACCGGTATTTCAAATCCCATAGGGTCACCATGGTGGACAGGATTCAGTAACAATTTCAGACAAATACAAGCTAGAAGGAAAGGCCTTGTGATCTGCTTTCAAAATCAGCCAGTGAAAACCTTATGAATCACAAAAGGCTATTGTCCAATATAGTGTTGGAAGATGAGCCCCTTAGGTTGGAAGACAATCAATAATAGACTCAAACATACCAATGATTATGAATATGGTGCAGGACCAGGCTACATTTTATTCTGTTTTACGTGGAGTCACCAAGAGTCAGAGAAGACTTGACAGCAATCAACAACAACAACAAAAATAGCACTATGTAGGAAAAGATGACTGGTGATGGCTTTTTCTAAGTTGAAAAGAATGTTATTTGGCAAAGGCTCAAATGTAGGATATAGTAAATTAGGATCCAGTAAATTACTAGTGGGCTGGTCCTAGCTGAAAAAGTAGATAAGCACCTTGCTTTGGTTAGGAATAAGAAATGTGGTGGGATTTAATGAAAATTTGGTTTACAGAAATTTGGAAAACTGTCATATAAATGTATGAACTCTCATTTTACGTGCAAAATTTGAAATGATGTTAATCTACCCAAATAAAAAAATTATTGAGATAATTTTGACCAGTTGGCCAAAGTGAATTGTACTATATATCTGTTTATGCTTTTTCCACATGGTGGTGTCACTTTAGTTGGCAAATAGAAATGCTTGCTGTTGCAGTTTTGATTTGTGAGAAGTCTTTATTCCTCGGTAAAAGCCTGGAAAAGTAGCTGATGACAACATAGCTGCTAGACTCTGCTCTCCTCCCCTTAAAGATCTTCCTTTTTTTGCCTTCTTTTCTCATCATGGCTATTTCTTACCCACTTCCCGACTCCTCTCGGCCTTATCCTCTTCTCCCACTTTTTTCCTCCACAGAATCCCATCAACATCCCTTCCTCAGGTCCCTGTCTCTGCTTCTCCTCAGTGATTAGAGGCTCGTGGGCAGGGACAACAGAATGGGCCAACTGCCTTCCTTCAGGACCATTACCTTCACTGGGTACCAAAGAGGGTGCAACGCCCATGGCTGAGAGAACCCACATAGAGAAAGATGAGAGTAGACTCTGTGCCAGACATCCTAGGACCTATCTCAGAGTGAGCTTGTTGGAAGGAGGAGAGCCTGGTCATCTTTCTCAGACTGCTCCAGTTCCTGCAACAACTTGTAGAGGGGTCCTGGAGGGCTGGCGTGATATTGAGTTTCTTTGGATCCTGTGAGCTTCAAGCCAGGACAGAAACAATGATACCAAAAGGATGAGAAGCCATAGATTACCAACTGGCATGAGGCATTGATCATCATATGCCAGCAGAAGAAGGTGGTGACAAATACAATGTCACTCATGTCATCGTCCTGCCATGTGTATCCAGTGACTGGTCTGTACAGAATAAAGCCTGTGTGCATCAGCCAGGAGCCCATCATCAGAAACAGAAAAGTCTCGATCAGCCAGAGATGAAACATGTCAGGAACCCACAGCTCTGCAGTCAACACCAACACCAGCAGGAACACCACCAAGATGAGCAGAGAGTGAACCTGCAGTTCCACCCCTACAGAGGCCTGAATGTGTGACACCAACAGCAGCAGAAGCACATAGAAGGTCAAGACCAGTGTACTTTTTTCTAGGACCACACACCTCTGAGGCAGCAGGTTCTTGCTTGTGATATCTGCACAGCCAATGAGGATGAGGAGGATGAACATGGTGAGGTGCTGCCACTCCTTGGGATACATAAATCTCGGTGGCACCTGCTTACTCATCAGCACCATCCCATCATCAAGACAGATGACCACGTAAGCCGTTAAGATGGAGCCAGTCACCATCTTCAACAGTCCTCCATAGGATATTTTCCACAGCGTGGCCCATCTCCCCTTATTCCTGGGAGGGCATGAAGGATACAGGAGAGAGTTATTGAAGATTATGGCCTTGGAAATCACTATTGTCTGATATAGTCCGTAAGAGAAAAGATATAACCCTGGGTAAAAATGACCATTGAATTTTCCCATGGAATTACAGGTCTGTCTGACTAAGGAGTGAAAAACAAAACTCAAGACCTTCTCTCTCTGCTCTCCCTCAGGGCCTCTCAAGTTTTGGGTTGTATATAGAGAACTAGCATCTCCCTACTTTTATCATCTCCCTCTGCCCACTGCTCCCCCAGAGAATGAAAGTTCTGGACAACAGCCTACGCTTTTGATGGAGTGGGTCTCATTGTTCCATTCCATTCTAGTACACTGGGAACTAACTCAATTCTGCCGAAGAAGAGGAATATTTCCTAGTCTGCACCTGTAGGAATGTGTGCTTGAAGGAGTTCTGCTTTTGGACTCTTGAGGCACTTACTGTCATACTTGTCCCTTTCTCCCATAGCTTGCTTCCTCTGCTCCTGCCCAGTGCTCAGAGGGGCAGTGGAGAGATGCATAGGGATGGGGATTATCCAGAGAAGTCCTGGGTTACACACAAAATGTTGTGTATCCTTTAAGACTTTACTCATATATGGTCATATACTGAGGTAAAAAAAAAATTCTGTCTTAACATACAAGTTTATAAACATTTGGGTATGTGCCCACACATGTTCATACTCAGCACCTACTTGGCCTCTTCATTCTTCTGTGACAGACACATTTTGGGACCACCAAGAAAGTCCCTTATCTGCCCACAAATCATTCCCTATTGGCCAGTGGATGAATCTGAAAAGCCACCTTTTGGGATTAATTTTGGGTGTCAAGATGTAATTTCTTATTAAAATGCAGATACTGTTGAGAGGACAGTTCTAGTGAGCAGCTTATAGTTTAATGTAAAATATCTCCTCAACTTCTCTGTCTCTTCAGCTATCATTTGCTTCATGTCTAATAGATATAGGAAGAAAGAGTCCTACCAGCTGCATATGACAGTTAATACACTCAGCTGTTAACAGAAAGGTTGGAAGTTCAAGTCCACCCAGAGATGTCTCGGGAGAAAGCCTGGTGATCTACTTCCAAATAATCAACCATTGAAAACCCTATGTAGCACCGTTCTACTCTGACACACATGAGTTCGCCATGAGTTGGAATCGGCTCAATGACAATTTGTTTTATCCAAGGCATGAGTCTTCAATTACAGGGGATGGTGGAGAACAAGATACAGATAATGGGAGGCATGCCTAGGCATACAAATAGTTCTGAGTTCATTGTACAGGGTACAGAGAATAGAGTTTCTCTGGTAGGTGTACTGAAGGAAGAGGAAGTTTATCACTGAACATGAGCTATGCTGACTTCACAGTCTTCTGCATATTTGCCCTGACCTCAGGATACGAGCAATGCGTTGGGGCAGAGAGGCAGCACCTGGATGCTAATAGCTCCCCTAGTGAGGAGGAGGACAGTTTACACTCAGGTATGAACACTGCCTCTGAACCCTCACTCTCATCCAAATATCTGTTCTTTCCCAAGCCCACTTAATATCAGACAAATCCAATCTCTTCATTCACTTGAGGATGGAAGCCATTTCTTGCCAGTGGGAGAGTGGGAATTTGAGTGTAAAAAGTGTCATAGGATAGAGAGCTTAAGATTTGCCTTCCTTATTTCATATTAACTTTCTTTTCTGCTTCTTACACAAGTGTGGCATACATTGGCTAGCAATTCACCAAATTCATTTTCTTTTTTGGTATGTCAGGATACTAAACTTCCCACCCTCCCTTACAGTCAGATGCAGCCTTGCAACTGAGTTCTAAGCAATAGAATATAAGTGGAAGTGATATTTATTGCTTCCTGATCTTGCCCATAAAATCCTCCATCGCGTACTCTTCCATGCTACCGTCCTTTCTTTTGGAATATCACAACTTACTTGGAAGTCATATGTTGTTGAAGATGGAGGAGCCCCAAGATGTAAGAAATAGAGTTTTCTAGATTACTCCTTGTAGGAGACTTACACACTAATCAGGACTACACATGTTGAACTACATGTAAGCAAAAAAAAAAAATTTTCTTTTTTGGTTAAGCAATGGAAATATTTGTGTTTGTTACAGCAGCAAGTTTACCCTAGTTGATGTAAAAGTAATACATGGGCATTATAGAAAATTTTGGAAAAACCCATAAGCAAAATATGAGAGAGAAGTAAGTACCTGCAATCCTATACCCTGAAGTAACCAAAGTTAACATGTTATAGTAGAAACAGTAGAAAGACTGGGATACAGACAGAAAATACACTGGAAATCAAGAGACCAGGACTCCAGTCCCAATTTTCTCCTAATTAGGTGAGCCCTGGTTTCTCTATTAGGAAAAAAAAAAAAAAAATTGGTATCTGTGTTCTCTAAAGAGAGCGAGAAGGAGGGAGAAAAGAAGGGAAAAACATGGGGGTTGTTGCATAGAATGAAATGTGTTTTTCCCTCTATCTTTTTTCCTTTGTTGCTAGTGGTCAAAACACCTGGAAAATCTCAGAGAGCTGAGTGCTCAGTGAGAGGAGGCACAAAGGAAGCTGCCGTCGGTGTGACACTGTGATGGAGCGAAACAAAGAGAAGAAATCCCTGGTATTTCTGTGGTTCTTGCCTTTAGTTGGGAAATCACTGGCCTGTTCTGAGAGAAAGAAGTTGTTGGTGCTCCACTAAATATTTACCATCAGTAAAGAGTCAGTGCTTATGTCTGAGTACCCAGTTCTACCTAGAATGGACTGCAGATCTCAGAAAGGGTTGCCTTTGGTCTCTTGTAATGTTATGTCTAGCACCTCAGGACTGTGGGTCTGAGGGACATAGTGGACACTTGGGAACAAGCAGACGCCATCCGTCTTCTGATCACCACATTTGTCTCTACCTCTTGGCTACTCTGGGAAGCTGGGATAAGGATGCTAATAGTCAGAGGAGAAGGGACGAAATACACCAAAGTGCACTAGTACACCACAAGTTCAAGGTTGAAAGTGGCACTCAGGCAGGTCATATAGCCCCACATAAAGTCCTATCTGGGATGCTCACGCCCCCACCTTGGCCAGGCATCAAGGTCACATGTTCATTAAAACATAAGCATCCTGATCCCAGGACTTTGAAGATTGTAATCTCCCATCCCTAACCAGAGACTGTCCGCAAGAGCAGAGAAAGAAGCCAAAGGTGGTGAATGATTAGCAGAACTGCCAGACAGCTTTAGTCTGGACACTGAGTACCTGGAAAGCTGTTTTAAGAGGAAAGCTCAGTTTGACTAAAAAAGCCCATGGAGGTTGTTCTTGGACTAGCTGTTCTGCAGCAAAACTCCCCTGCCCCACCCCACAATCCTGAGGGCCCTCAGTCATAGCCACTGGCACTTGTCTGAAATCATGAACTTTCTGCAATGATAGAAATTTTCTATAATCAGCTCTGCCTGATACGGCAACTACCAGCCGCATGGAGCTATTGAGCACTTGAAATGTGGCCAGTACTACACAGGAACTGCGTTTTTTATTTATTTTGCTAATTTAAATTTCAATGGCCACAAGTGGCAGGTAGCTACTGTATTATATGGTGTAGATCTAGAATGAGGAGTCTGAAGGCTCAGGAGAATGGCAATCCTGGATGGATCTCAAGTGCAACCTGCTGAGTCACTCTTTAATGATAACCCTAGAAGGGCTTGAAGGAGAATTCTGTTCTGGCTACATCCCACAGATTGTGATATATGGGGTGCTCTCATTACCATTCACTTTTTCATTTCTATTTTTATTTCGTCTTTAACCCAAAAGTAATTTAGAAGAAATGTCTTTTAACGCCCAAATAAACTGTATGGTTTTTCCTTTTACTATCCTTTTTATGCTGATGATATTTCTGCGTTTTTTGTTTTTTGTTTTCTTTTTTGTGTGGGGAGGGATGTGTTATTTTTCTTCATAAATATTCCATAAGCAGTATTCCAACTTTCTTATTTTTTTACATAATATGGTTATTACTGAGATGACTATATTACGTTCATTGACTATGATTTTGGATTTTTTCTCTTTTTTATTTTTGTTTTCAATTTATGGATATAAATGGCATATTGTTAATGCATTGTTGTTGTGTACCGTCGAGTTGATTCTGATTCGTAGTGACCCTATAGGACAGAGTCAAACTGCCCCATAGGGTTTACCAGGCTATAATCTTTACAGGGCGCAGATTGTCAGGTTTTTTTCTCCTGCGAGCAGCTGCTGGGTTCCAATTGCCGACTTTTCGGTTAGCAGCCAAGTCCTTAACCACTGCACCACCAGGGCTCCTGTTAATGAGTTAAGATTCCTAATTGTTATACCTTCACAGTGAATTGAATACAAGAGAAAGATAAAATATCTTTGTCCTTGTCAATTGTTACTACTTCTCACCTTGAGTTTTCTTTTGTCTGGTATCAGCATGATAACATCTTCTTTCTTTCATTATATTTCTAGGATATGTTTTTGCTTATATTTTCAACCTTTCGGTACCCAGTTGTTTTGGCATAGCTCTTGTAAAGAGCATGTAGCTTGACTTTGTGTTTTAACCTGCTCTGAAAATTTGTACTTTGATAGGGGAATTTAACATACTTAAATTTATTGGGATAGTTGATGCAATTGGACTTTTGTTTGACATTTTATTTTATGCTTCCCGTATTCCATTTGTGGTCCCAAACCCAAGTTCCACCTTTAAAAATATCTCCACAGGAACGAGTAACTACATTTACTAGAATAAAAATTTCCACTTGAGATTTGTGACACATTACTCTGTTTCTATGTTGTCCAACTTTCCTCACCTCTCCAGTTCTCATGAATCTTTACAGTCCCACTAAATCTTAAGAAACACAGTTTGCCATATAGGCAAACTTGTCTTTGATTTCTCATAGCACCAATAGTTTTTATGACAGCCTCTATTCTTTTGTTCTTTAAATAAGTAAATTTTTTATATATGAGATTTAATAAAAGTCGAGGCACTCGACTCACCTCACTGATACCTCCTTCGGAACAGCACCATCTGATGTAGCAGTTATTGCTTAGAGTCTTTTCCGCCTGTTAAGAAAGACTAGAACTTTTTGAGAAACCCAGAGAAGCAACAGGGAAGGGGGTTAATAGTACAGACCCTGGAAATACTCTG